GAATCGAGATAAGTGCTTTATCATTACGGGGAGTGTGGTTGGGTGGATTGATTCGCCTGTGAGTTACTGAGACGCTAGGTTGTCTTAATACTGACGAAACTGATGTTGAACAGGGCAACTGGGAGTACACCGCAACCAAATATGGTTTGAGGGGCTTCATGCGGACCGCACGTCGCTCGTCCTGGGAACAAGATATCCGGATCAACTACGTCGCGCCGTGCTGGATCAAGAGTGCGATTCGCACAAAAGAGTATGAGCAGTGGCTCATTGATCACGGCATTGAGTTTGGCGAACAAGAAGACGTGGCGAATTGTATGATGCGAATCGCGAGTGACAAGTCGATCAATGGTATGTATCCGATTGGCCGCTCACATTGAAGCGTGAGGAATGTTGTACTAAGGTGTTTGGTAGGCAAGAGCTTGATGATATGTCCACGCTCAATAGCGAAGGAAGGGTTCAAAGATATCGACAAGAATGATTACACGGAGGATGACGGTAATGACGGGTATTTCAAGCGTACGCAGGACACGCAGCTGGTGATCATTGAGGACAAGTGGCGGGATGATTATAAAGTGAGGGTTTACAAAGAATAGTGGAGGCTGCTGCTGATGTTGTTTGTAGCCGCAAGGTAGAGCACCAAAAGCTAGCACGCCGTGAATCGCTGATTGTGACGGCGATTGGGGAGTCAATTTGAGCGAAAGACAAGAGAACAAAGAAAGAAATAATTCTAACAGCACAGAACAACTTGCGTGCGTGCCCATTCTTCGTGTGAGTGACTTAAGCTCAGTACCTCTCGAGGTGGCTACTTGACTTGTAGGTCCTTGTGCGGAGTTTCAGGCTGCGACTTAACACGGTCGTCCTGTGATCAAGCACATTCAAAGAAAGGCTCAGACCATAGGGCAGGAATGCACATAGATTCCATTCCTACGGAGGAGATATCCAGATGATATTGTAGCACTGTGCGGTCTGTGTATTGTTGTGGTTTTGTGAAGAGGGACAACGCATTGGACGCGACTGACGAAAATCATCCACGTCACCTCCAAAGGACAGCTAGTGTGTGGCCTGTGCGCAAAGTAGGGGATCTTCCAGCGTGCGAGCATCCCTGATCCTACTCCAGCTTGAATCCGAGCATCTAATAGTCGCGAGCGGCATGAGCATAGCGAGTGACAGACTACCAGCCTTCCCATTTTCCATAGACGGCGCGCAATTGGAAAGCTCAAAATGGCCCCAACTGCAACCCCACAAATGCGCCAGCTCCGCCACTTCGCATCGGAACTGATCTGATCGATATCGACGTCGAGAATGATCGAAATTACTAATAGGTAACATCTACATCAACATGCGACTCATCAATGTCGATACTCTTCAGCTCTCCGAGTCCTTCGGCGACAACATTCCGCGTTATGCCATCCTTTCGCACCGTTGGGGCAAGGATGAAGTGGACTTCGAAATGTTCTCTTACTCTTTAGCCAAAGCGAAGGGTATGCTAGGCTTCAAGAAGATTGGGTATTGCGCAAAGCAGTCGAGCAAAGACGGGTTGCAATGGTGTTGGGCCGACACCTGTTGCATCGACAAGCGCAGCAGCAGCGAGCTATCTGAGGCAATAAAGTCGATGTACCAATGGTATCAGAGCGCGGCAGTGTGCTATGCCTACCTGGAGGATATCACCGTCCCATCGCTAGAAAACGACAAGCACATGTTCAGTAGCGATTGGTTCTCGAGAGGCTGGACATTGCAAGAATTGATTGCTCCAAGAAAGCTCCACTTTTATAGCAAGAATTGGTCAAAGCTGGGTGGCAAAGGCAAATATACGCAGTTGATCTCATCTGTCCTAGGAATTGATGTGGGCGTGTTGCTCGGACACTTGCCAGTGGAAAGAGTGAGCATCGGACAACGGATGTGATGGGCATCGGGTCGTAAAACCACACGCATTGAAGACGCCGCTTATTGCTTACTGTGATTCATCATCTTTTAGTAGGTTGGAACCAGTGGTAACAATGACTTTGCGTCACAAGTGGCATATTCGACGTTAATATGCCTTTGCTCTATGGCGAGGGCCGCAAGTCGTTCACTAGGTTGCAGGAAGAGATTATAAGGCGATCTGACGACCACTCCATCTTCAGCTGGATCGATAGAACTGCCTCTCGTTCAGATTTTCGCAGCCTACTGGCCCGATCGCCAGCCGACTTTCGACATTGCCAAAACATCAAATCTGTCCCGGCGCTCGCAGGCGCGCCATTTGCAATTACCAACCGAGGCCTCAACATCTCGATTCCCCTCCACTCGTTGGATGACGACGGCTTGGAGTATCTAGCGGCACTACATTATCGATTCAAACATAGCGGCAAAGGTTTGGCTGTCCGTTTGCGACGTGTAGCTGCAGGGTCAAATCAATTCGCTCGAGTTGACCCTTATAGGCTGTATGAAGCTGCTGATGTGCACACCTCAGCCGAACTGTACGTTCCCGAGCAGATACCGCTATCACTCACGCCTTGCAGTCGTGCTGCTGGCTGCAAGGTGAACATTGTCGGCACAAACTTCAGTGTAAGAGCAGTATACGTCCAGGATGCATATTGTGAAGGATGTGAGATTCTTCGATTCGATTCACGCCGGGTTGGTCTTGCCGTTACGGCCAGGATCATGTTTGTCACGACCAAGAAGCGCACTGGTTACGACTGGCCCCCGAGGCTTGTCGTACTGGCCTATAACCCTCATCTAAAACCGTCAACCATACCTGCCGGGGTCCTTGGCCTCGATGCCTGCATCATTGCACCCAACTCGTGCATCGCACATATCGGGACAGTCGCAGGCGATTACGATGTACGTAAACCGCCAGCAGCTCATGAAATTGAGTGGTTTGAAACGAACTTAGTGTCGCATTATGTGACATTTGGAAGAGAGATTGTTAGTGACGAAGTCTTCTTCACGGCGAATGTTAATGAAGGCTTTGGCTATGCGATAGAGACGATGCACTCGCCTCAAAAAAGCTTGTCCTATTGATACAAGCCATCGATTCCGAATCACAAAAGCTACGAGGTAGCTGATGGGGACAGCGATAAGCGCGAAATCATCGTTTGTCCAACCCCCTGTCCCACAATCCAAGTTCTGCGTGTGGAATACTCTCGAGCTATCTAACGACAACGAATATCAGCGAGTCCCATCGCGGTCGAACCGCACATTGCGCGTCTCCGACATTAATGATGACTTCACCGCTTTGTTTGATGGTCATTGACAGGTTGCGCAGATAGAGCTCTGCACCACGAAAAGACATGCGATGGTCAGTATTCGCTGAAGTAATCGCGGGGTTTGCTGACACATCTGGACCCTTTCATACCAAACAGGCAAATGTGAAGTCGGAAACGTTCCGCCTGCTGCAGACGTTTAGCCACAACTCTTATGTACAGCAGTAAGCTTACACGCTCGGTACGCGACAAAAGCGAAGCTTGACGAAGCTTAAAGACATTGCCAAGTTGGCCCCTACGCGGTTGTTCTCACTCTTCGATCAATCTGTTTGAACTTTTACTTCAGAGATCGATCATTCGCAACCGCAACAGTACTGAGCATGTCGACCATGAAAGCAATCGTGATCCGGGAAGCTGGAGGCCCGGAAGTCCTGCAGGTTGAGGACTTACCGATTCCCACACCAAACGCGGGGCAGGTCCTTATCCGCATTAAAGCATTTGGTTTGAACCGTTCAGAACTATTCACGCGTCAAGGACACTCACCATCCGTGAAATTTCCGCGAGTCTTGGGAATTGAGGCAGTCGGTATCGTCAAGTCATGTCCCGGCCGAGAACTGCATGAAGGTGATGTTGTCGCCACAGCCATGGGCGGCCTCGGTCGCGACTTCAACGGCGGATATGCCGAGTACACTTGCGTACCATGCCAGAACGTTCAAGTGATCGATAAGCAAGTTGTGAAAAAGCTGGGTTGGACGACATTCGGTGCTATGCCAGAGATGCTGCAAACATCGTATGGCTGCCTCTTTCGCGGCTTGAAATTGCAAAAGGGAGATAAGCTACTCATTAGAGGAGGAACGACGAGCATTGGCTTGGCTGCAGCTGCGCTCGCAAGTAACAACGGAGTAGAAGTCGCAGGAAGCACTCGCAAGACGGACGCACACACTACAGAGCTGATGAAGCAAAGTGGTGTAACCCATGTCATCCAAGATACTGGCAGCCTTGCTGAAAGCGTTCGCAAGGTATGGCGTGGAGGTGCAGACAAGGTTCTGGAGCTCATCGGCACGACGGCCCTCGACGACTCGCTCCAATGCGCCGCGAAAGGAGGCATTGTGTGTATGGCGGGCATTGTCGGCAATGCATGGGATCTGAACGGCTGGAACCCGATGGAGAAGATTCCAACTGGAGTGTGCTTGACGAGCTACAGCGGTGGGCCAGATGATTTTCTTCAAACACCTTTAGCCGAGTTGGCTGAACAATTCTTGGGCGGGAACCTAAAGCTTCCAATTGGCAAAGTCTTCAAGTTGGATAAGATTGTTGAGGCGCATCGTGCAATGGACGGAAACAAGGCGGGCGGGAAAATTGTCGTCTTGGTCGAATGATTACGTCTCACATTTGCCAATGAATTACGTCTTAATGAATCCTATCCCTATTCCGGCACTACGACTTTCGATGGTGAAGGAGGCGTACACAGTTGACGTTCCCTAGAAGTTCGCACACACGAATTTTACAAGTAACACCCAACATCAGCTTGTTTGGGAATTTCCTTCGTGCTAGCTGTCGCACAGCTTTGTTGTTCACAAGTTGCGATAGCTTAAATCTCTACGGGTGTTGTGTTGGTATTCGCTTCGCGAATTTAGTTTCACTTAGCTCGTCATGCAAGATCTGTGGAGTCATACCCACCAAAATCCACTGTCGTGCAGAGGACATATTGTTTCGGATACGCCGCTTCCCTTCTATGACCATTGCATTGGCAGTATATATAAGTCTCAAATTCGAATTACGTCATCACACAACTCAAGCGTGATCTTGATCGCATCTCTCCGCTTGGTGTAGTTGGTTGTCAGTACTCCCCACAGAGTCATCACTCATGCAGTCTACTAACCTCAATTAGTATCACGTTCGACTGTAATATCACTTTGTAATCGAAAGGTCCCTAGTTCGATTCTGGGAGCGGAGATTTCTTTTTGCATCATGCTCAGCTTGAGAAAATGTAGCCGAGCATTTAGGCAGTAGAGAAGTATGGTAAGAGGAATGAAAGACGAACTGTCAATAAAGTGAAGGGATTAAGTTGGTATGGAAATTTTTGGTGTCAATCTTGCGTGTTCAGACTTGTGCAAGCCAATCGACTGAGCGGAACAACTCATCGACAAGCTGCTACTCCAAGCAATCACATTCTTATACAATCGAACTTTCTCTACCATTCTCGGCTGCAACCATGCGCAAAGTTGGAATTTTCAGGTAATGTATTACGTCATCTTAACGCACAGTCGTCGATGTCTCGATTGCGCAATTTGCAGATAACCGAGCTTGCATATATCGTCGACAGACCAAGCAAAAATTATATTGGGATGCATGTCACTTGGCTAAGACGTGCAGCAATTTACTCCCAACTTTTCGCCGTACAATGCAGAAGGATTTTGTTCTCCTATTCGGCACAGAATGGTTCCACCGGCTCGACCTCAGACTGCGGTGCGACTAGATCGGCGATCTCGCGGGTGACCTTCCACTCGCCTTGCTCCCAGTCTCGCCGGCCAAGGACATCCAGGACATCTGCCTGCTCGAGCATCCTCGTGCTCGTCATGTTCATCAAGACTCGGTTCACCAAGTCGGGCACACTGCCGCCATTGTGTCCACCATATAGTGCAGCATTGAGTGCCTCGTAGATTGCTGACTTGATGGTGTATTTGCCATCTCCATCAGGGCCAGTGGCTTCAATCATGGCGCGCGCATACATATTGCGGTACTCATCTAGCTCCCAGGACATGTGGATGTTGGTCGTGGCAAACTCAGGATGCCAGTCGAAGGTAAGGAAGGCTGGGAGAGCTGCAAAGCCAATACAACGTGGAGCAACCCGGCACCTGTCCCAGTCAATGATACCAGTAACCTCTCCGGTGTCCTCATCGCATAGAACATTTTGGAAATCAAGGTCGTCATGACGCAAAACGAAGGTCTCCTTTTAATCGCCGGTCTTGATAGATTTGTTGAATGGCGCAGATGCGAGGAGGGTAGATACAATTCGGCGTCGGCCATTGTTGATGTGAATCTCGGGGTTTTCGTCGCGTGGCCAATGCTCGTCCAAAGCTGTCTGGAAATATGCGCTAGCTGAGGAGAAAGGAGGAACGCATTTGATGCAGGCTGGAGTCGACATATCTTCATCAGTGAGCTTGACGAGGTCAGAAACAGGTTTCCAGTGATACGTCGGGCCGACGGTAGGATTCTCCGGATCGCCATCGAGATTGAGCGTGCCGACTCGATCGAATTCAAGCTCCTCAAGCTTGGCCATCTCCTTCGCTAGAGACCAGAGGAAGTTGACGCGAATATCCATTCGATCTTTGTCAACGATCTGCGTCTTCAAGCTCATCTTCGCCATCCTCGTCTCGTTCGTACCAGATTTTATTCGCCGAAACGCCTTTGTTTGCGCGCATGAGGACATAGGGAGCTCCAAGGTCGTTGTCGAGCGAGTCGCTGAATGCCAGTATCTCCGGCACGGGAATCGACGTGTTCCCATAAATGTACCGCATCGTCTGAGCGTCGTTCCGCAGCATGTACGCATCGGTAGCTTGCCAGCGCTGAGCCGTGCCCGTGCAAGGAACCTTGATTATCCACCGGCCCACGTAGAGGCGGTTTTCGTCTCCACCATCTATCTCGAGAATACGCACGAAATTGTTGCCACCTTGGATCTCGTCAACGCAGTGAATATCATCAATTGCGACATTGTGCTGCCCAGGCAATGCTTTTAGGACTGTGCGTCGAAAGCAATCCTCTGGAGTCGCACGAAGAGGCGCCCAGTCGGCGCGCAGGACCTTACGGTCTACCATCTTCTCCATCTTGTCCCACTCATCGTCGTCCGATGAGCAAACTGACTGCAATTTAGATGAGATGACCTTATGAGCTCCGTCGAATGAAGCATACCCAAACGTGCCTTGATTATTCTCTCGCGCCACCTGGCCGGTTGGCAACAAAGATGAGGTAAATTCCCGATCCGTGTGGCTAGTTACCACACTGAGAGCATTGGCTTGCTGGATCGCATGCTTATTCGTGATGCCATCGTCTAGTCCGGAGCAATCTTTCCTCAGCTGATCGTGCTTCCCCTGGTCAGTCGTGTTGTTCTCGAGCCGTGTATTGCCATGAGATACATGATCATGAGAGGAAATTCCGGTTTTGGGATATTCGTCACTATCGCTTGAAGGCTGCGCAAGTGTACTCACTTCTTCGTCGACCTTGATAGTGAATCCTACACCACCTGCGAGAGGCACAATGTCAACAGCCGTAATCTCCGAGAGCTGGAGGTAGGGACGTTCGCGAACAAACGGCGCAGACTTCAAACGTGCCACGTTGGGGTCGTTATGGCTGGCACTATTTGTCAACCTGGGCGCGCGGGTCGGAGGCTTGACAGACAACGCCCAACTTCGGCGGAGAGTTGCAGCGATGATGGTCCACCATGACCTTGGTGTCATTGAGGCTTCGATTTGGGAAAGGGGCGGGGGAAGCAGCGCATACTCGCAGTCATATTCTGGCTGTTGCGAGCGGCCTAGAAATTTGAGCAGCTTGCGGATGCCAAACATATTGGCGAAAATGTTCATTCCAGAGAAATGCGCAGGCGAAGATATGTTGCCGTGGTAGGGTGACGGTTGCGAGAAGAATTCGAGATGTCGCCGTGGAAGAGGTGAAAAACTGGGCTTTAGGCATGTTCCTGTCAGCGCAGGCCAAGCTTTTTGGTTGATCTGTGACCGTGAAAGTATCACGTGAATAGAAATGCAGACCGTGACTCCATGAGAGCTTTCACGCATTCGGCGCAGGGATCACTAACTCCACAATCAAAGACCTCACGTCAAAATGTGCAATGAATTTAAACAAAACAAGATCGCCTTAACTCGATTCCATTACCTCGACTCAACATGCCCAAGTACTCACGAGGTAGCGAAATCAATCTGGACGAAGCCTATGGTCCTCTACTGAACGACAACGCTGCAACGCTGCGCAACATACGCACAGGGGCCTCGATGACCCGGGTGCATCATTGCGGAGACTCAGAGTGTGGCGAAGTGGCTCCCAAGCTAACTTGCATCCGGAAGGGACACTTAGCCTTCTGTCTTGCGCCAGTCGTGGACAAGGATGCAGCTTCTCCAACCTACGGTGAAGTTGTCATCCATGGCGAGCGATTCGCCGTTCTGTCGCCGCAGGGTTGTGCCGAGCATCGTTACACCGACGACTTCAACCTGGACATCAAGGATGCTCGTAATGGTCCACCCGATTTCCCAATAAGATGGAAGCAGCGCTTCAAGGATGCAGAGGAAGAGCACGAGACGGACAAGGCGAAAGAGGCCGAGGAGCGCGAGGCTACACAGAAACTTAGAGGTATGACTGGCCATCAGAGGCAAGTCATGCACGCACGGCAAGACAAAGAACAGTATCTGCGGCGCCGAGAAGTCGAGATCGTGGACATGATCAGGGACGTTCCAGATGTCATACCGGTAGACGCGGCAATACGTGGCGTAGTTCAGGAGCCGGCGCACAAACTGAGCAAGGCCGTGGTGCGTGAAGCAGGAGAGCTCGCTGTGCAAGTTTGCTCAATCACGAACGACGAATTAAAGCGCGCCACTAAGCCGCTATGGCTCTACGAGAAACTCTTTAAGAGCCTCGATGCAAGACACAAGTCCGGGGGAGAGCTTCGCGATTGGTCAGCTGCTAACACGATCGCGCCGGTTCAGACAGAGTTAGCAATACCGACCAAAGAGTGGCTCCACCACCAGCTCTATACCGATGGACCAGGTGATGAGGAAGAGGAAGAGCAAGACAAACGAGGAAGAAGAGCTCCAGGACGCAATGGGCTCGATGGTACCACAATTACGAAAGAGAGAGAAGAAAAAGACGAAGAAACAGAAAGCAGCCAAGACTCGAGCTATTGCACGCACGATGTCGGACGAGGCAGCGAAGAAAGAGGCCGCGGAGAAGGAGCTGGCAATGGTGATGAAAGGACAAAAGGGTAAGCGAACGAAGAAGCTCACTAGGGCTGGAAAGACTGCGTGGAACTGACTCCAGATCGATGGGCTCAGCATATATTGTGGCGAGTAAGATGCGTTGTCGTTGTTTTGCATCAATCGCGTATGATAGGAGACATTTAAGTGATGCTTTGCCCAGCTTAAATTCTTGCGTAATGTATGCGCTGTGAGTTTAGGCGGGATATAGGCTAGATTCTGCGCTTTTTTGTCATCCAATCTAGAGATGCAATGTACGTTAAATTCTCAATGCACGAGTATGCAGACCTGCTGCACATTTGAATTAGAAATGATCCCAACGCACGAGCAACCCAGGAGTTTGGTTCCGGAACGAGCCATCAGCCACTGCACTTGCTTGACAATGTCTTCGAGAGAGGTCAAGAGGCGGGCGCATTGGCTGCTGTCTTCTTTGCCATGAAGCGAATGAGAGTGGAATGGCAGGAGTGAAATTCCAACGTTTGGACTTCATGGAAAGCTTGGCATTCAGTGAATTCGGCGCTAATTACATGATCAAGATCAATCCCTCCCGCATCGTCCTGCAACTCCTCCTCCATCAGCCTACACCGACCATTTGCTTGGTTTTCGTCACCCAAAATACAGGACTGGAACATTTCCGGAACCCCTTCTCCATGCAGTAGTGCTCGCGCCATTGCAAGACCGTTGCCGCGGCCCCTCAGCTTTGGCACACTGTTGCAATTCTTGGATTTTCCGACACCTGCATCGACCATGCAAACAAACGGTTTGGCGTTGCCCAGAGACCTGGAGAAACGTGCGCTTAAGATGACGATGATTCCCCGTTCAAGTAATCTGGAGCCCCGCACACAGATCTCCTGGGCGCCTGTTCCTGGGGATTCGGGCGAATGAACCCCGGAACCGGCTGGGCTGAGCTAGACACCCATGTGTGGATGCAATATATAACATACGTCAAATATGATGCGATGTCTTCACGCATCGCAGG